TGATATATACCTATACTGTAACTACATAATATACCCCAACACCTCATCCTAAGTATTCAGGCTCGCTAGTATGGAACCTCACGGAACCTCCGAAGGAACCTTAAGGCCCGAATACCCTGAACTCTAAGAACCGCATCAAAACACCTGTGCAAAAGGGCCCTCTTCTACTTCTAAAGCCCACCCTGAACCCTACACCAGATCCATGGCCCTATTCCAAGCCGTATGAGGCCTCCTAAAAACCTAAACCCTCAAGCCCTAAATCCTCCAAAACCCTAAGCCCTAAAACCCCCAACCCTAAACTGCGACATAAACTTTAAAACCCTAAATCCCAAACTCCGAAAAGCGCTAAACCCAAAGCCCTAAATTAACATAAACCCTAAAGCCCTGAACCCTAAACCCTAAACCCTAAAACCCTAAATCCCTAACTCCTAAAAGCCCTATAAACCCTAAACTTGAGGCCTCTCCGGCTTTCACCCTAAACCCTAAACCCTAAACCCTAAACCCCTAAACCCTAAACCCTAAACCCTTTCTCCCACCTCCGCAGCATTCGGTCGAAGACGGGGCGCAGCTCTTCCCGCAAGCGGCCGGAGACCTGGGTGTCTGTGGCTTTACCCATAGGCCCCATAGTCCTTCCTTTTTGGGATTACCTTATAGGATTCTAAATATGAGCTTTACCCATAGGCCCCATAGTAGTTCCTTTTTGGGGTTCATATGTAGAATCCTATAAGGTAATCCCAATTAGAGCCCCATGGGCCCCATAGTAGTTCCCTAAGGGTCCAAGTAGTCCTTATTTATGGTTTTAGGTACCCATAAAGGCACCAAAGTCCTTAAATAATGGGTACTCGGCCCCATAGTAGTTCGTTTTTGGGGTTCATATTTAGAATCCTATAAGGCGATCCCCAAAAAGAACTGCTATGGACCCTATGGGTAAAGGCTTAGAGTTCAGGACTTATGGGTTCCACTTGGATGCCATGATGGAATGGCAAGGGTGCAGGGTTTAGGGGGGGTTGAGGGTTTAGGGTTTAGGGTTTAGGGTTTAGGGTTTAGGGTTCAGGATATTTTGGGGTTCCATATCGATTCCCATTAAATAGAATCATAATCCTTATTACGGGAGAGGGGTTGATGTATCGCGGGTCTACGTTAAGGTTAAGGGCTTACTGGGATCTTACTAAAGTGACTACAGAATGATTTGAAGCGAGCGGAACAGGGATCTTGTCTAAACACCGGGACTTCCTTGTCCTGCTAATTGCCACTACTTTCCATTACCTCATGCTACTTCAACTTCCATTTCTATTCTACTTATTTTCTTCTACTACTCGGTTGCTATTGCTGCTGCTGCTGCTGCTGCTGCTGCTGCTACTACTACTACTACTACTACTACTCCTACTACTCCTGCTACTCCTGCTACTACTACTTCTTCTTCTACTACTTCTACTACGACTACGAATACATACTGATGCTCCAGGAGAGCGCGCAGTAACTGCGCGAAAAGCAGGGGGCAGTAACGACGCAGATGGCGGGGGCAGTAACAGCGCAATGGGTGGGGCATTAGCACGCAAGACGAGATCTTACCACTCTGGCGAGATACTGGCGGAAAAACGGCGCGGCGAGTTACTAAGCCTATGCCACCCGCTGCACAATCCGTCATAGCTGCTCGAGCCACTAGGTGGCAGCAGATGGCAGGCCACGTTGCCAATGCGCGCTGTGGTATTTCCGATCCCGCGCTGTTACTGAGAAGGCTTAGAAAATGCTAGTAACTACCACTATTGCAACTGCTACTGCTGCTACTGCTACTGCTGCTGCTACGACCACTACCACTACTACTACTACTACTACTACTACTACTACTACTACTACTGCTACTGCTACTGCTACTGCGACTGCTACTGCTACTGCTACGACCAAAAATAAAACTAAAGCCAGTAACTTCTGCTAACACTATATTTTTTGAGCACTGACGAAAAAAAGACTACCGTAAGGATCAACCAGCTTTCATCCTAGCCATCCCCCCAAACTAGGCACACACCGGGCTTATGCTATTCAGGGACGGGTTCCATCGTCTGGCCGGGCAGAGAGTATAAACAGAGATGCATTCTTGCTTGAGAAAACCGCTATGGAACTCGAAAACCATGAAACAAACCCACACCCCTGAACTCTACCCTTAACAAAGCAAAGCTTGCATTCCGAGATGCCATCTGCCTCACCGCATGGACCAGCGTCAGGAAGCCCTGAAAGTCCATGCAGCCTCGTTCAGTGGCCACCCAAACCCGGTAATGCCCCATAATTTGGTGCACAAGCACTAGGACTATCTACGCCTAGTACCATAACTATGCCTACTCCTTGGTACAATTTGGAATACTAGTACCGGTACCATGACCATGCCTATTCTTCGGGCTTGTTAGGACTTGTATTCCCCAATGGCCCCTCTTAGTGGATCTTTAGAACAGGCACGGAATACGGGGGTACAGGGTATTACAATGCTTCTGCAAGGATCCGAGAAGGATTCGGTATGATAGGCTTCTAGACTATCTAGGCCGTGCGTTTACTACTAAACAAACCATGGTTTCGGGTCTATGCTTCCGAGTTTGGGTTCTTTGGTTGCGGGTCTTGGGGTTTGGGACATTAGAGCTTGGGCTTCGAGCGGGTTAAGGTGCAAGTCCTAAGCTTGGCTTAAGTCCTAAGCTTGGCTTTAAAGGATTTCTTTGTTAGGGTTTAGGGTTTAGGGGTTTAGGGTTTAGGGGTTTAGGGTTTAGGGTTTGCCCTGATTTGCCAAAAAGACAAGTGCTCTCAACACGGATGTGGGTCTTATCATTGAAGATTGACCCCGCCAACTTCTTGCCGTGAAGATTGGAAAACTCTGCATTCTTGAGCACCTCGAAATTTGTTGTCGTCAACGTCTCACTCTTCAGGGTAAAGAACCGCTTCTTGCCGTGGTCTTTTGGCAAAATCGCATACTTTGAGAAGACAACGCTCTTCGCGTCCTTGATGCTTGTAGCGGCGGTGATGCTGATTGGTTTTCACCACCCCTTTGTAGCGAACCGACGGTTGTCTCGGTCTTATCCTTGTTCTTTTCAATGTCGCGGTTCTCGGTAAGGCAGGGGTTCCACAAGAAACTCCAGAATGTGAATACAGCTGCGACGTTCGAACACCCGAAGAAACGATTCTCCCAGGACCTGTGCACCTTGGCTTCACGGTTTCTGTTCAGACCTTCACCTTACTCATGTAAGCCAAACTATTGCTTGGCTTGCTGCTTGCAATCGATTGCGAAAGGAGGATTTCTGCCAGTATGGCCTTCATCACGGCGATTCCAAGCCCTGCTAACCCTAAACCCTAAACCCTAAACCCCTAAACCCCTAAACCCCTAAACCCTAAACCCTAAACCCTAACCCAAAACCCAAAACCCCAAACCAGTGGCAAGACTCATTCCAGCGCGGTGGGCGGGACCCAGAGCCTCCCTATCCACCCTCTTTTCAGACCTTCAAGACCCATAATTCGGGACTCTAGGGGGCCTAAATACTTAGAAGGGCTCGTTGATAGTATTACTATCATAAGGAACCTAAGGAATAATATTGGTCATTATTTAAAGGCTTCTACAGTACCCCCCCTAAACCCTAAACCCTAAACCCTAAACCCTAAACCCTAAACCCTAAACCCTAAACCCTAAACCCCATGGGCGACAAGCCCTCTCGGACGTCTGAGACTCCACAAGCCTTGGGTTTGAAGGAAACGTAGGGGCCTCGATACTTAGACATAGGGTTTTTTGGGGTATATTCTGTTTGTAGTTATAATAAGGAACCCCCCCCAAAAAAAAATATTCTACTATAGTTATAATCAGGAACCCCCCCAAAAAATAGTGTAGGCAAATAATTCTGGCCCCTAGACTCCACAGGCTTTTGGGGTCGGGGAAAACCTCAAACCGACGCCAGGCTCCCCATGAGAAGTTGAGGTGCTTCGGGTTTAGGGTTTAGGGTATCGCGACTTGATGTGTTTAGGGTGTTGGGGGTTGAGGGTCACAACTTGATGTGTTTAGGGGGTGTTGGGGCTGCTCTCTCCAGACCCTAGACTCGGCTTAAGTACCCGAGGGGCCTGTTCGTGTTATACCTATGCACTTTTCTCCATTCTGAAAAAAAAAAGACCACACGAAAACCTTCCGGGGGTGCCTTCGTCCAAACTCCCAACGTGAGAGGCGATCGAAAGGAATTCGCTGCCCTGGAGGAGTGCCTTCGCAGGATTTCGGGCAATGTGGCTGCAAAAGCCCAGGCTTCGAAAGCCCAAGCCCTTACCCGATGTGCCTGAACCATGGGGTATACCCATAGGCCCCATGGTAGTTCCTTTTTGAGGTTCATAAGTAGAATCCTATAAGGTAATCCCAAAAAGGAACTACTATGAAGCCTATGGGTAAGGTAGTATACTACACCTGTAGAAGGAGCAAAAGAGGATATACTACTACTGCTTTTCAGACCCCGACAAGTCCTGGACGGTATCAACCTGTAGGCTGGGGCTTTACGTCTCAAGCTTGCCTAACTACTCAGGCTGCCAGGCTTCCATAGCATCTAGAGTAAGCCTGCATTCTATGAGGGCTCCATAGTGTTTGGGGCATTGGAGGCTTCAGGGCCCTGGGGTTATTGTGGATTTAGAGGTACAGCCTTAGCGGGGCTTTGGGTTCCCCCGAACACAACAAAAATCCCCAACACCACGAACAAAAAACCTAAGCCACACGCCAACCACCATAAAGCCCCGAATATTCATGGCCTGACAACCCGACAAACGATGAAGGGCAAAAGCGCGTCAACTAAAGGTATTGCGGGGGAAGGGTTCCTGGTACAAGCACTCAACCCTAAACTTCCCTAAACACGAAGGGCTCCGTGATGTACTTCAAGATATCTTCCTTAATTGAGGAAGCCGAACGCCCTGAATCCGATCAAAGGCTTTCGGATAACGCTTAGAGCAGCCCTAAACCCGAAACCCTAACAACCCTAAAAGCAGCTCAACAGGCAGGCCTTTAAAGCAGCCTTCGTCCCGCCGAAGCGCTGGATGAGCCTCGGGCTTTAAGAGGGGCCTTGATAATGAATTGGAATAGGGTTTTTGGAATAGGGTTTTGGGGCCCAT